TGTCTTCACCAATCTTACTGGTTCTATTTCCTCAAATCTTTCATTTCCTCATTACTGTGTTGAGTGATTGTTCATATCTGTGTTTGAAGACTTTGACTGAAGACTTTCTCAATTTCCTCAGTTCAATTTCTTCAGTCTGTTTGTCTTCATCTTGTGTTATCCTGTGTTTACGCTTTCGGTACTCTGTGCGTGTCTTCATTTCATCATGATGACCATGCATGTATTCTGTTATGCTTACTTCTGAGTACTTATTCCGCTGCAAGTAGTTCTTCGCTTAGGAATTTCCTCACCGGCAAATTCCTCAGTGAAGAATTCATAAAAGTCGCCTATTAAGCCCCCCTCTAGTCGATATAATGCACTTTCAATAATGTTGTTTCCTCATTTTCAAATGTAAAACATTCCTCTCTCTTTCACTCTCAAGTAATCTTTTTTCATTCATTACTATCTTAGCAACTTGCCGAACATTAATATCCTCCAACAACTTAATCTTCATAGCCAGATCCTTATGAATCCCACTCTTCTCAGTCCTCATAGAAACACTCATTTCTTGTCTGCCCAGATTACCATCACCCAATGTATCAATTTTTACACCCAACTCCATGTCTAGCTTTATATTGTGGCAAAGATAGGCTCCCTAAATTAATGGTCTCTGTGTTAGCCTCATCTTCCTCGTTCCTTTTAGCATTTCTAAGGGTATCCACATCAGTCACCTACCACTGAATTTTTAATCTCACTGTTGCCTCTTTTTCCACTACCAGAGTACCATACTTGTTCCACTACCTGAGCAACCTAAAAAGCACTCTAAAAACAAGCATCTCTTTTGTATAAATTCAGTTGAGTTGGGAACTTTATGAATATCCCTCACCCCATGCACTGGACCAATAGTAGTCCCCAGCTCACAAGCTCCAAAGAAATGTCTTAAGCAATCTAGTACCTTCCAATCTTAATCAACATAGTGTATCCAGCAAATTGAATTCACTGAGGTTAGTTAACTCTACCAGCTTAGCCATGTTGGGAAATCTCATAGTATAAGCTTTCATGCCTTTTTGTTTGACTCTCCACTACCAAATCCAGTTAAACATCTTGTCGAAGCCCTATAAGAATTGAGGCTCATTAATCTCTCCAGAAGTGATTTCAACCAAAGCCAAATGATTTGCATGCTCAATGTTGTTGTTTTCTTTTGTATTCTGTATCAGAAGGCATCCCAAACCTTTAGTAGCAAAGCCTACATACTTTTTTTTAAAAAACTATTTTTCCAAAGCCTACATACTTGGCAACTAGTTTGATCTGTTTAACCAACTACAATCTTCACTCAGGTGTGACTGTTTTCCACAAAAAGAACACTTGACATATTTTCTGCAATCTTTATGAACATGTGTAGCTTCTTTACACTCAGAGCAAAACAATCTCTGTCCACCAGCACCTCCTTCACCCTCGGTTTTCTCATCTTCCTTGATCCATCCACTTGACTAAGAATTGGGGCCCACTCATAAATACATACTGAGAATTTCCACTATTACCAGTGCCACCATCATGAGACTCTTCTCTCACACCTTGATTAGTCATCATTAATTCCAGCCATAATGTAAGGCACACAGTTTGGCATAGCCCCCAGTCCCATGAGATGCTGGTGCTGTGAAGAGATCCCTTGACTAGATCCTTCTCCCCCGGCATGAGTAATTTGGGGAAACCACGGTTATTTCATTCCCATATTAGGGATCTGCATAGGTAAATTCCCATTTGCTAACATCCACTAGGTAGGGTTATGTATATGACCTTGTTGGGAATCCCCACTCTGGATTCTATTCAGATTAGCCAGAAGTGGGCCTTGTGCAGTGTTCGTGGCAGCCTGGGTTTTCTATCCTTGAATCTCTCCACTCCCCCCATCATTCAAAACCTTCCCAACCGCCTTCCCATCAAGATCTCTAGCATTTCCCAACATGTTCTTCCTAAAATTGTTTCCATCATAGCTTCCACTACCTCCACCACCAGACCGCTTGTGCTGATTGGTAGCTAAAATTGTCTCTTCCTCATTCCTGCCATCTGGCTCTCACCTGAGCTCCAACCATATCCTATTCCCCCTCCTCTCTCTCTCTCAAACCCATAGCTCAAGGGAACAAGGTTCCTCTTCCCAATCAAGGGGGGAAGTCTCGTCTAAATAATCAAAGGAAGGTGAATGCGTATTCCCAAACACCACCACCAAAAGACTACCCATAACAGGGTTGGCTTCGAGGCCCACAAGCGAGGAGTATGCCTAATTGGCAGCCCATACCCCCCCCCCCAAATCAATCTCCAACTCTTTTCCTACCGACGCCAAATTTGTAACTATTCTATCCACATTAGAATCATTATCTTCTATAAAATCTAAAAGAAGAGGGTATTCATGGGAAAGTATTCCCCTGTAACTTCTTCATAACATAATCACTAGGGACCAGTAACTATAACATCCATCATGATGATGAGAATTATCATCGTCAATTTTAGAAATAGCACCAACCGAATCTTGAGCGAAGCAACTAGCAGGTGAAACTAACATAGATGGAATGCCAAACAAATCAACCACATATTCAGTATTAGCAGTACAATGTCGTTTCCTCAAATTTTTAATCACAGATCTTTGTGTTCGTCTATTACAAATAACATGAGTATCGAATGATCCATCTAAATCCCTCGATGGGGTAAACAGAAATGTATCCCTAGCATCATGGATTTGAGCAGGGTTTTGATAAACATACCACACACTGTAGAAAATTCCTCATCGAAATTCTCTCTGGCCAGCACCCAGAAGGGGGTGCCGGCCGGAGTGACTCCTACTGCCCACCTGACCCGCGAGCAAGCGCCCGAATCCTCGCAGAGCGTCGAGGGAAGCGAGGTGAGCGACGCGACATTTGAACCGGGCGCACGCCTCTCCCCCTCCTTGGTACAGGCACGGCGATTTCTCCCATCCCCGGCATCTGCTGCTCCACCAGCCCTGGTACAAGGATCACCATGACCGGCCCCACCACAAACTCCGCTGGATTTGGGGGGAACGACACACGAGATCTATATGCAGCCCATCTCCTCCTCTGCCTCGGATCCGGCGACTCCGCCTCCATCATAGCCCAGTGAAGGATCTCAATAGGAGCAGCCCCATCTCCAAGCATCCTCGCCCGCTCCGCCCCCGTAGCAAAGATCGTCGCGATTCCAATCGCCGCGTCGTGGAGCGTGTCCATGTCGGGAAACCACCCGCAGATCTCTCTGAAGCGGGCCATCTTCGCCGCGTCCCCCGCCGCCATGTGCCCTATCCACTCCTCCAGGGCCGTCGTGATGATCATCTCCTCTCCCCTTCTCCGCCCTCCCTTGAGCTTCGTCTCTCCGCCCAGATCTGGTCGCGTGGACTAGAGAAGAGAAAAGTCCTCCCCGCGAGTAACATGTGATGGGTATCTATACCCGTTTCTTGGAAGAATTACACGGAGTAATAAATAAAAAAATAAAAAAATAAAAAGATGGAAAGTAAAAAAATGTAAAACCATGAGAATGGCAAACCGCTATTTTGAGTCAAGAAAATTTCCATCAACATCAGACGTGGGCCCCACTCTCTAGTAGCCGTTTTTTTCCTACTACCAAGTAGCCGTCGCTCGCTCGCTCGTGACCCCGGCCCCTCGTCCCTGTCCTGTCGTGGTCCTGTCCACTCCGCCGAAGTCCATGCCGTAACGTTCGGCCAGTGCCACGACCACGGTGGTGGAGAACGAGGAGCGCACAACAACCCAGCCAGCCAAGCCGCCCCGACCGGAGTGCGGAATAAATCCCAACCCCATTCCCAGCACAAGCAAACCTCCACATCTCCATGGAATTTCGAACCTGTCCTCCTGCTCCTAGATAACCAACCCAGCCCCAAGGAATTTCGTGCCCGGAACCGCTCGCTCGGCTCCTAATCTAACCTCGGGAGCTGCGATCCGGTCTGCTTCATGCTCGTAGGAGCAGCGTAGCTCCATCGTCATCACTAGTTTAGTCGTCGTCCTCGCAGCGAGTTCACATGGTCTGGTGGTCTGACTCTGACTGCGGGCAGCAGCAGCCGTAAATCTTCTTTGCCACCGCGACCGACCCCGGGTCCCGGCCCCGGCAAAAGTCCTGCTGCCTGCCTGCCGTTGCCTCTTCTCCGGCCGTTTCGGCTTTCCTCCCGCCGCAGAAAGCCAGGAAGCTCTCGAGCTCGCAATCAAACCTTCCTCCCCTTTTCGCCGAGCCTTTCCCCCTCCCTCTCTCCGCAGGCAGGCACTAGTAACTGCTCTGCTGTTCTTGAAGAGCCTTCCTTAAAACCGGAGGGCAGTTACGCGGCCGCCATTAAGCCCTGCTCCGGAACTGCGGTTTCCATCGGCGGCAGTTTCCACCCGCTCGCCTCCGGCGGGTCACAATCCTCGCCTCGCCTCGCCCGCCCATCCTCTCGCCACGGAAGAAGAAAGATGACAGGGAAGGAGGAGGAGGAGTGAAAGGGGACAGCCCTCTCCCTGACGCCTCCCCCTCAGCCCCTCCCCGTTCGGAAACCCTACCACCGATTGCTCCTGCTCGCTCAGGTCCCGTCCCCATCCGTCCATCCGTCCGTCGTCGTCTTCCTCCTCCCGATTTCTCTTTCGAGGCCCGGCGAAAAGCTGGTTCCTCTTGTCTCTTCCTCCACAGGGTAGCGAGCTGGGCTTCTTGCGCCTTGGCTGTGATTCTCTCTCTCTCTCTCTGCCCCTCTGATCTGATGGCTCCGGTTTAGGTCCCGGGTCCTCCTCACCTAATCTTGTTTCTACTCCCGGTTGGTACCGCCCGCCTGCCTTGCCGGTCCAAGCAATCAGTCGATCTACCTCCCTCCCTACCTACATAGCCGTGTCCACGCACTCCTCCTCGCTCTCCAGGCTCCAGAGCCACTTCAGACTTCAGACCAGTACATCTCACTGTTCTTTCCCACAGCCTTCCTTCTCCGTGTGCTGGTTGCTCGGAGGTTAGGAGGCAGTGCTTGCTTCAGGGGAGGGAGGCTTCGGATGCTGCGTGCTGATCGACCCCCCAGGTGAGAGATTCTCAACTGAATTTCTGATGCATGTTACTACAGTTGTACTACTCCTTGTGAGTTGTGACCAGATGAATGGTTATCTGCGTCTCCAGTAAAATTATTTTGTGCCTTTTCAGCTTTCATATAGACTTTGAGAATGAGCATGTGTTCTCTTATTCTTTTTTTTTTCTGAAATTGGAGAAGATTTGGTTGCTGCTGCTGCTGCTGCAAAAGCAAGTCAAGTCTTTGTGTGCTTGCGTGAGCAAAAGATAGCAGCAGCAGCGCCACCTTTCTTTCTAGCCTCCTTTGTGTGATTGCGCATGGGCTTCATCTTCATTCCTCCCTCCTTTAACCGCCGTGTCAAAAGGCAGCCGCAGCAAAGCGATGATGCTACTCTTTAAGCCGCCGGTGATGAAGAATGCAATTAATCTCTTCCTTTCTTGGTTGGCCATTATTCCCTACTAGTGTTTGCTTTTCTGCAGGCTTCTGCTTTAGTTTCCATGCCTAATCAACCAATTCTCCTTTTATCCATTTGATTGACTCCTATTATAATTGCAGAGGATAAGAATTTGTTCTAACCATACTGTTCTTGCTTGTACATCAATCTCTGCTTCAAAAAAAAAATCTCTTCAAAAAAAAATCTCTGCTTCAAGTGTTGCATTTACTTTCCTACAGTCTTACACCCAATGCTTCAGTGGCAGTGCATTCTAACTTTCTAAGCAATGGACTCCACTTGGTAGTGGTACAGTTAGTACTAGCACTAGCATGTTCTCTTGCTTCCACAGAGAAGGGATGAAGGACTTCAGGATTCAGATAGCACTATTGTGTTCATGAGTAGGGTGTACGCGACGATCTAATGGAGAGCAAGCATTCATTTTTTGCCCAATTGGTGCCGCTGAGATGGTACTTGTTGGGAATTTATTACCATCTTCTCTGAGTTGGTTCATACTGATTTCTGGGCAGTTTGTGTGTAGGCACTTGTGCAGCACTACAGGTACAGGTTTCTTCAGTAGCTTCGTTTTGGGCATAGGGTGTTTCATAGAAAATGGCCAACAATTGGCCTTATCTCTTCTTTTTTTGTGATAACTCACATGGACCTCTCCTGGTCCATTCGTATTTTTTGTAAGTCTTTTATTGGTTTGGTTAATTGTAAAATCTTATGAATGTTTGCTCCATGATCTACGCGCAAAATATTTTTAGATTCTTGGTGCAGTTATTTAGGGGGGGGGGGTTATTTGCTTGCTATTTAGGGAAACTCATTGCTCTGTTTTCAGTATTTTCTGATCCAGCACCGATACACGGAAACTGAAACTGCTTCACTGTCATCTTATCAATATTTGAGCCGCCGGTGATGAATGCAATTAAGTTCTTCCTTTTTTTGGTTGGCCATTATTCCCTACTAGTGCTTGCTTTTCTGCAGGCTGCTGCTGCTGCTTTAGTTTTCATGCCTAACTAAGAACCATAAAAGAAAACACTTATCTTTTAGTCCAGTTGACTCCTCTCTGTGAAATAATTGCAGAGGATAAGAAATTGCTCCGTTCTTGCTTGTGCACCAATCTCTTCTTCAAGTGCTGCATTTACTTTTCCACAGTCTTATGCCCAATGCTTCAGTGATAGTGCATTCTAAGCAATGGACTCCACTTGGTAGTAGTACAGTTAGTAGTACTAGCATGTTCTCTTGCTTCTACTGAAATGAAAGGAAGGACTTCAGAATTTGGATAGTACCGTTTTCATGGATAGAGTGTACGCGGCGATCTTACGGAGAGAAAGCTTAATTTTTTGCCCAATTGGTGCCGCTGAGTTGGTACTTGGGGAATTTATAACCCTGTGCTGTGAATCAATCATTTCCATTGGGAAGAAGAGAGGGTCTCTCTCTGGGTTGGTTCATCATAATGATTTCTGGGCAATTTGTGTGTAAGCACTACAGGTACAGCCGTACAGGTTTCTTCAGTAGCCTTATGTTGGGCATAGGATGTTTCATAGAAAATGGCCAACACATGGACCTCTCCTGGCAGCTGCTGTCCATTCATATTGTTTTAAGGATTCGATTGATTGGTTAATTAGAAAATCTTATGAATGTTTGCTCCATGATCTTGCGCGCAAAATATGTTTAGATTCTCGGTACAGTTGGTCAGGGGGCATTTATTTGCTTACTATTTAGGGAAAGTCATTACTCCCTTTTCAGTACTTTATAATCCGGCGCCGATACACGCAAACTGCTTGACAGTCATCTTATCAATATTTTCGGATCCGGCACCGATATACCGGAAACTGCTTAGCTGTCATCATAGACAACATAGGCATGATTTTGGTAGTTCTTAATTTCCTGTCTATCCATAAGATTTGGGTTTTCTGTCATCTTTAACACGCCAGTCATGTTACTGCTGTGCAGGTAATCAAGATCAGATTTTCCAGCATTCACTAGATTTTTGGTTCTTCGGTGAAGATGGAGCTTGTCTATTTGGAAAGGAGAAATGGATTACGCGGCGACAGCGCTGCTCCAGAGTTCAGTGGAAGGTCAGAAGATGACCATCATCAACACCTGCCAGTTGTTGCACCTGAGGTTCAGTCTGATCTGGCTCTGGTAAACTACAGGCAGACATTTCCATTAGATGAGAGGAAGAGCAGGAGCTGCCAGTCATGCCACAGGTCACCATGCTCTTGCGGTGGCGACGCGCCTCGCCCCGACTTGTGCCCGACGCTCCCTGCCAAGATGATGATCTTGGAGTTCCTGATAAGAAGCCTGAGGCACCCAACAAGAACCCACAACGTGAGTGATCTCGACGACTTGATCAGCGGCGGAGCCAGCACCGGGGATGTCACCCTCGGTCCTTCGGACAAGATGATTCTGGACTCCTTACATGCGCTGGTGAACGCCAAGACAAGGCCGACGAAGAGCCCCTCGTTCTTCCTCCCGGGGGGCAAGATGAGGAAAACCCGGTCAAGATCCCACACCATAACACAGTCAGAGATACTGAACCTGATATCCCCGGAGACATGGGAGATGTCCTCCCCCGGGGCATCATCGCCGTCGAAGAGAAGTGCGGCGGAGCTCGCCGCGCATGAAGGGACGGCGCCTTCTTGCTCCGGCACGGCATGTCTGAGGTCAAATCAGCCTGGTCTGTCCTCATACCCACCACCATCATCATCTCTTAGTGCAGGCCTTCTGCAGTGCATTTGGAAAGATGGGCTCCCTCACTTTGAACTGTCAGTGGACAATCCTATGGCAGTGTACACTGCAAGCCCTGTCAAGAAGCCGCATGGCGACGGCAAAGCCGCGGCCGCCGCCGACCACGTCTACCTGTTCCATTCGGACGAGCAAGGGAAGAAGGACTGGATGGGGAACTACTCGAGCAGCGTGTCGAAACTCGTCGGCAAGATGAAGGTGACAAGCTCTCTGGTCCTGGGCTCAGACGGGTCAAGGTGTGTGGAGACCGAGTTTGTCATGTATGGCTCCCCTGATGACTACCTGAGGCAGATGCAGAGCGCCTACAGTGTTGCAAAGGGCAAGGGGCTGGTGAAGAGGGTGGCAGAGATCATGAGGTCGCCCAATGCTTCCTCCAGCCCAAAACATGCTGCATGGGGAAGGTTTGGCAGACCTTCTTCCCCGCTGCGGTTCGACGACGATGTGCGCGAAATGCTCGATGCCGAACTGGGCGGCGCTGGAAAGGCGACAGGGTTGGTGAGCCTCGCCGCTGACGATATGCCGACCAACCAGGAGGTGGCGGCGATCGTGGTGAGGGAACGGCGGGAAGAGCCGGCCGTCGTCGGCGGCTGGGGCCTCAAGTTCCTTGAGAAGGCCGGAGGAGCCGCTCATCCAGAGGAGAGTAAGAAGGCAAGGTGGTGCATAAGCGCCATTGTTCCAAGAGGCTACCACGGCGGCGTGGCATCCGAGAATGGCGGCCCATCGGGGCTCGTCGAGCGATGGCGGAACGGCGGCCGCTGCGAGTGCGGCGGGTGGGACCTCGGCTGCCCCATCAGAGTGCTGAGCAACGACGGCGGCGGGTCGTCGCCGCCGCCTGAGGACGGTGCCAAATCGGTGGAGCTGTCACCAGCGGTAAGCACACAATTCAGACAGGATTTTATGTTTCAGAAGAAGTGGCAATATTGTTCATCTCCGTTTCTATCTAATTCCAGGGGGCGAGGAGCGGCGGCGAGCCGGCGGTGAGGCTGGTGAGCGTCGCGGAGGGCCTGTACATCCTCTACTTTGACGCCGGCGTGGTCTCGCCGCTGCAGTGCTTCGCCGCCGGCGTAGCGGTGGTCCACAGCCAGGCGCCCCAGCTCCACCCAAAACTGTGAACCGCCTGTAGTTGGGTTGAAGAAACTGACCTTCTTGTAAGATTGTTGACTTTATCTTGAGAGAGATGTGTAAATGTCCAGAGCTCGAGCTGTTAATTCATCAGCTTTTCTGGATGAAGGCTGAAAACCTGAAACTGTAGTAGGAATCACAGACCATGTAAAAAAATGGTGCCGATATAAAGTGCACAGATTTATTTACAGCTTTTTATTTAACTGACCGATTGCCTAACTCGATTGACGAGGCAAAGAATTCAATGGGCCATTGTGCTGATTTTTGGCTGCAGTTTTCACCACGATGAGATTCACATTAGCCACTGAAGCTGCTGTTGATTTATCAGCTACTCGAAACTAAAATCATGTAATATTCCTGATGCAGAACATATGGTGGCTGCAAAACTTGGCTGTAGAAAGAAACACGGTTTACAGATACTCATCACATGTACCAAAAACAATTTGCAAATTGGTTCCAGACCGAGTAACCGCTATCTCGCTTGAAAGGGGCTACTTAATTGTTGTATATGAGAAAGAAAATTCATCTGAGGAGAAAATACGGATCAAAACTTTCCGAGGCGGCGGAGCCTCCCCCCTGGTCCTCCTCCGGCTTATGCGACCGCTTCACCAGCAAGTAAAGGTTGGAGATCAAAGGGTTCTTCAGGAACGGCGTGATGAACCCCTCCAGGTCTGAAAATTCTCGCAGATACGATTCGTGCCTGTCCTCTGCTTGTTCCGGTAACCACCTTGATTCGGTGAGCGCGTACAGGCCGAGCAGATTTGTGTATACTGACGCGAACACATCCTTGTGGTTGCCGATGCCGCCAATCCAATCGGTCTTCCCCTCTTTCTCAAGGTAGCCACTCGTCAACGACGTTAGCTGGTGCAAGAAGCGCTCCCTCCAGTTCTGCAACAACGCTTCACTTCTCCCTGATGTTGCCAGCTGATGCCCAGACCGCACGAGCTTCTGAATGTTTGAGCAGCTGATTTGACATATCAGCAGCTTCTCCTCATGGTGGTTATCGATTTCTTTATCGAATATCTGACGGACCAGGTCACCATCCGAGTCCAACGTGTTGGCAGTGTCCAAAACCATCCTTAGCAAGTACTCGACGTATTTCAGCCAGTGACCAAACAAGCAGGTTATGAATTCGAAGCTCAACGCAATCACTCTGTCCACCTGCAGTGGCGTGGAATCATCACATAGCTTATTGCCTGACCCATTTCCAATTATCTTCTGGACATCGTTGGCGAGTTTCTGCCGAAGATGGACATCCTCGTCCTCCAGCAACTGGATGCATATGAACCATAGGTCAAGTATCTTGCATGCATAGAGACTGGCAAATTCACCCCCGCTAGCTTTCAAGCATTTCTCCTCGAGATGGCATTCGTTGTCTTGTTCCGAAGGAATGTATGCGTTGGACACACAAGCATTGACATAATTTGCCTCTTCAAGAAGCCCTGAAGCGATAATTGCTTCAGCGGCAGCCCTACGAGAATTCACAGTTTCAGATGGTGCACTTTGCTTCTTAACAAGACTGACAAAAAGGTCTGTGCTGACAATGGCTGCGGACAATCTATCATTCCCTTTGTGGATACTCCCAGAGGAAGTAGAGAGCTCACTCGTTTTAAGACCTTCCGGTAACACGCCATCCCTCATCAATTTAGCAAACTGCTTCATGCACATACCCATGCAACATAGAATTATTTCTCTGGTTTTCGCATGTGACACAGTGCTGTTCAAATGAACTAACCTGTCCCAGATGGATAAAAATGTATTGCAATCTTCTCCATTGTTGAACTGGCATTCCACGTTCCATGAAAATATGATCCTTAGACTATAATAAAGGCATTTGGGGTGTTCTTCCACAGATAACCGTTCCATAATCATAGAGTGCAGACTAGCCCTAGCCCATTGATGCAAAATGTTCTTACTATCACCAGACCTGATTGATTTCACAAGCTGCAGAATCCTCTTCAGCGCTGTGATTCTAACATCATATATAGGATCGGCAAGGCAAGACATTATCTCCTTGTGCAGCTCAGTGAGGGAGACTGCACAAGGCGTCTCTGACATGCTTGAAGTCGACTGATCAAGTATTTGCAATCGAACATCTTCCTCGGCGGTTTCATCATGTCCCTTGGGAATACCAACACAGCTGAAATATGATGCAACTGCTTGCTGCTGAAATTCAATCTGGGTAGGATCATGGAAAGCATGGTGAGTTGACGTTACATTGTTCAGACTCTGGGAACTCAACTGTAACAGCAGTGTCCGGATAACATCAGTATGCTTGCTTTTCCCTGTTCTTGCAACATCAAGCATCTGATCCAGAACACGCAAGTATGATGTACTTACAACAGGGCATGCACATAATTTACGGCAGCCAAGCCAAGAGCACTTTGAGAGAACCTCAATTAGTTGGCCAAGAATCTGATCCTTCTTGTTACTGTCTGTCAAGCCTCTGTAGTTGCTATCGAGAAGGGAAAACAGCTGCAGAAGAAGGCCATGAATTGAATTGAATGAAGAAGACTGAGAATTATGAGTTGACACTTTACGACCTCCACAAGGTAAATCATCCAGTATATCACCAACAACATGCTGCAGTCTCTCATTAGATACCAGACCAATTAAAGCCCTTGATGCAAGGACACGGACCCGGTAGTTACTCTGGGTAGCACATTTCTGGATAAAAGGTAAAAGCAAAAACGGATCTAAAGGATCATCAGTTGCACAGCTAATGGGTGACGGCTTAAGCCTTGATAAAAGAATAAGAATAGGGCACAGGCTGGGGTGTATGGCTTTTGCGATATGTGACTCTAAATTGCGGGAAACCCCATCAGCTAATAGTTCTGTTGCAACTTTCAGTTCACTAGAAAGGAAAGGATGAAGTGCCGGGTACCTATACATAATAAAACAAGGCACAACTCAGTCAATAAAATAGCCAATCCCACCAACTGAATATTAGTTTGGGAAAATATTGGATATAATGTTTCACCATAAACAAACACAAGAACAAAAGGTTTACACAAGAATAGCAATCCTACATCAGGACTACAATAAATAAACTAGTATTCTTTTTGGAAGTAATTCCACTCTTTTATCATATCGACAACACTGAGGTGCTTAACCAAAAAAAAATGATTATCAGTATTATACTTGCATCAAACTAATTGCTATTTTTCTCATGATATTAATGTGTAAGAAAAACATGCTAACATAAGATCACAAGACCAATGTTACCAGACTGGAAACTATATACTAAACTTGTAAGAACAGCATGGCAATATTAGACCACAAGACCAACGTTACCAGACTGCAAACTATATACCAAATGAACTTGCCTGTGGAAGAATTCAAGGCCAGATATTGACCGTCGTGCAGATTCGCGTTTCTGCACATTCAAAAATCCAACCATGCGGCGAACCAGTGCAGTATATGCTAGACAAGCTGCATTACGCACTTCCCAGTAAGGAGATGAAAATGCATGTACTGCAACTATCGTTGCCTCAGCACAGAAACCCGAAGTGTCAGCTGCTAAATTTGCATCATTAAAAGCAGCTCTAAGCACATTGAATGCATGCACTGTAGGAACAACACCCTCATCTCGGCTTTTTGACAAATTTCCATTAGAATGAACACTTGTGGTGATTCCTGATTGTGACTCGCATGAATCTACAATGCAGTCTTTCATTGCTTCAGATTTCTGGTTGTGATCTTTCTCAAAATTAGATAAAGACATTTTAGCAAATTCTATCAGCCATTGTAATGCCCTTGGAAGTAGCTTCTTTGGGGTTCCTTCTGGCTCTGCCAGGAATAGTGCCATAAAAGAAGCAGGGATTCCTGCGCTCCTTCTTAGCAAATCATCCACAGTTTGCCCTTTAGCAACTGCCCTGTCCATCAGTAACACCATCCACGATTCCGTCATTTTGCAGAGCCTGTGAATGATAAGAGAAATTAAAGATCCTCGGGAACTAGGATATAATCCATTAAAAGTTTCTACTGGACATGATACACAACTGTCTGACATGAACCTAGCTTAACTGCAAGGAAGTTTCAACTCCACATACACATAAATCCAGAATCGGGTTTCAACAAAAAATTACTACATACTACTGTACTTATGATGTCGAGACCATAAGAGGGCATGTACAATGGAAGCACCCGTTTGGTGCTGCCCCGTAGTCCATCTAGGCATAAAAATCTGAAACCACCACATAATTTTTTCTATTGTCCAACGGAAGCTACCATCTAGTGGGACCTACGTAGCGTCAGCCATCTACCATGCAGCGCAGAAGGTGGGAGCAGCAAAGGTCCCCATCTCTCCTTTTCCTCCCCCATTTCTCTCTCTGTTTGAACTTTTTCCACTTTCCAAGCTGAAGAAGCCGTCTCCTCTGCAAGCTGCGCCTGTGGTCTGCAAGCAGCACCTGCATCACCACCGTGGCATCCGAACCTATCTGGACTGTAGGGCAGTAGCTCTGAGGCGACGCGATGGCCATGCCCTAATGGCGAAGAATGATGATGACAAACATCTATTAACAAGGAAAACTTGCACAGTTTTGAATTTCACCCCTCAGACTATCACAAATTTGCAGGTGTCCACAGTTGCGGTGTATATGCATCACCGCATTACTCAAAATATTCATGTTGAATATCATTGTACTTCCACAAGGATAAAAGGTTTTTTAACAGAAGGCTGGATTTTATTACACCTCCACAAGGATGAAACTGATTAAAAAGTTGGAGGATGGTGTTGTGTGATATGATATCTCACAAATTCAAGGAATGAAATGTTACCTATTGCTGAATTTTTCATACATAAATTTCAAATGTAAACAAGAATTGCGGCACCTAGTTATCATAAACAATGTTTCCCTTGGTTTCCAAAGAGGTCCTACATGGGCAATGGAACATACCTTGAATCATTTGAGCAAAGAAGACGGTTGCAGAGGGCAGTAAGTCCAGCCCTTGTCTTATCAATTGCACCATTATGCTTCATTTTAAGAAG